CTATGCGTGCCAAATCTTCATTGATTTTTTGAAATACGGAGGAAGTGTCACTAGGTTTACATGAAATATATATCTGAATATCGTCTGCGAACATGTTATGCTTACGTTGTAAGCATAACATGTTCTTAATGACGTCAGCGCTATATAGTATAAAAATTAATGGCCCTAAAATCGAGCCTTGAGGAACCCCACGTTTTACTTGTTTCGGTTTTGAATTAATAATCATACAGTTTTCTGTTTTCAGCTCAACTTGTTGGGTTCTATGACTGAAGTAACTATCAAACCAATTAAGGGTATCTTCGGAAAAAAATATAATATTTTAATTTAGCCAATAATAAAGTAATATTTATACAGTCAAATGCGCGAGAAAAGTCTAGTAGCGCTAATATAGTACCCTCCCCGTTATTAGCTGCTCCAAGTATGTCATCGACCACTTCCAACATTGCTGTTGTTGTACTATGTGATTTTCGAAAACCTGACTGATTTATTGGTAATATATTTTCAATCTCGAAGTAATTACGTAATTGCTCTGCTATTATCTTTTCTAATATTTTTGAAATACATGGTTATACACTAACGGGTCTTAAATCGTTTGGAGATTTGGGGCACGATATCTTAGGTACAGGTCTTACTACAGGAGCTTGCCATGCGGATGGTAAAGTAGACGTTTCAATAGATTTGTTTATAAGTGAGGTTATAACAGGGAGTGATTGATCAAGTGTTAATACAAGCATATCTAATGAAATTCCATCTAAACCTATTGCATTTGATTTGAGACTCCTTATGATTCTTAGCACTTCACTCTCATTCACTGTTTTAAGTCTGAATATAGCAGAACTAAAGCGATGGTTTTGAAAGTAGGTTACTTCAGATAACGACAGACTGTTGTTATTTGGTAACTTTAAAAAGTGCTCGTTTAAAAGGTCTGGATTTGTAAAAATGTGGGTTGGAAGAACTGTTTTTTCTTTAATTCTTACATTCTTTTTTATATGTGTCCAGAGTAATTTAGGGTTGTTCTTGTTGTTGTTAACATAATAATCAAAATAAGCACATTTTCCACGTTGAATCGCTTTTTCTACAACGTGTTTCATTTCTTTATAAAATACAAAATGACTGTCGCGTCCGCTTTTTTTGGCTCTTTTATATGCTTCATCTCGACGACTCATAAGTTGCAATATATTATATGTTATCCAAGGATATTGCTCGATTTTTATTCTTTTAACTTTGGTTGGCGCGTGAATATCAAATAACTGAATTAAATTGAATTGAGGTAAGTCAGCATAATATTTACATCTGTAATTGAGATTAAATTCTTCCAATTAATATTTACTAGATCCGAGTGAAATGCATCTTTGTTTATGAAATTAAGTGGTCTGCTATATACTAAGATAGGCCTTGGTTTATTTATCGTAATATTTAATAGACATGTAACAAACGCGTGGTTGCCTAAGTTGTATACATTATCCACCGTAACGTCGTATTTTTCGATGCCAGTGCTCAAAAAATTATTGGAGCTCTAAACCTTTTTCTTATTGATAGAGAAAGGAGGGCTGACTACTTTGCTGCAGAAGTGAGTGGCAGAGTCTGCAAGGCAAGTCCTACACAGAATTTAATCGACTAAATTGGCGATTTATTAAAGATTATTTAGTAGTCGTCCCTTAATTTAGTACGAGGCGCCCTTCACTTTGCTTACCGGAGCTATATGACCAGCCCATTGCCATCTTAGCTTACTGATCCATTGGGCTATGTCGGTTACTCTTGTTCTACTAGGGATATCTTCATTACAAAGTCTTTCACTCTGAAACTCTTCTTTTAAAGTTTTGAGGAATACGTGACGAGAAAATGTGTCGTAATCTCCCGAAGGATGCTCAGCAAAGTTAGATCCGTCCGATCCGAGTTAGATTGACTTCTCGGTCAAATTCGAACTTACCTAGTCAGAAAATTTGTCCTAGGTAAACATTGAATATGTTGACTTTTCGACTATTTCAAGCGTAGTATTTTCCCAACAACAACCGGCATTGATGTGACATGGACTATACACAAGACATTTATCTAGTTCATGTTCATCTTAAGACCTATCCGTTGGGAAACTCTATTGAGGTTATTGAGCATTGTGATGCTGATACCTATCCTTTCCAGTCCAATAGCTTGAAACATCTTCCAACGCAGCGGTAAAAAGTTTCGGGAATAAAACGTCACCCTATCTTACACCTCTCTGTAGTTGAATAGGTTTCGCACTAGATCTGAACTCGGATAGCCATTGTAGTCTTTCAGTACAAACACTCCAGCACCTCGATATTCTGGAAATAGGAACTGCAGAAGGGACTGTAGCACTGCTCAAATTTCGACGGAATCAAAGGCTATCTCATAGTCCATATACGCAAGACAAAATGACAAATTGTGTTATACTCTTCGGTCCTCTGTAAAAGTTGTTGAAAGGTATTTAATATGTGGTCTATTCTATTAAAGCCTTTTCGGAAACCGGTTTATTCGAGAGCCTGGAAGTCGTCAAGTCTACGTGGGAGACTGTAATGTCTCGAAAACAGCAAGTAGAGGCGGCTGAGAGATGTAATCGGTCTGTAGTTCTTCAATAGCGCGTTTTTGCCAGTCTTACAGAACAAACAGTTCTGTTCCACGCTTCCGGAGTAATGCCAACATGGAGGATGGAATTAAACAGCTTATGAAAGACTTAACTTACGGTTTTGCTACCTGCTTTCTAGCTCCACAGAAATTCCATCCTCACATTTTATGGTGCTGATGGCGAGACTACTCTGGAGTCGTTAGCTACAACGACGATGTGCACATCTGTCTTCTCAGATCAGTCCAGATCTTTCCAATCGCACTCGCAATAGGATTCATTTTCATATTTTATTTTTACGTTAGCTACGTTTTTAACATAGTGGAGTCATGATGTAGCCATATTATGGCTGCAACAAGAATGTATGTAAAATAGTAGTTTAATGTATTTCGTATGGTGATTGTAGAGAACCTCAGAGATGACAACGTATCAGCATTCTTGGCTATGGGCCACAGCATCCACTTTCCCTCAGGTGGACTGTATGCCCGTTTGTTATCCTTAATCTATTTTAAAAATATAAACTATTCTGAAACACGTTTGAAATCATTATATTATAGTACTTTGTATTAGGATTTCCTAATATTTATCACATTTTGAAGGACTGTATTGACTTCATATTGCTTTGCTATATTAAGTGCGTTACTGAACAGTGCAACCAAACACAGTTAGTGAATTCGTCAACATTATGCACTGTTTTAGTGTTGAACAAGACTTTCCCAGCTTACTTTCATTTAACCAAATGATTTGCGTGAAAGCAGTGCTCTTAAATATGGTAATTAATTATGTCTTGAAATTATACAGTTACAATTAATTTATAAAAACCTAATTGTATTACGGTAGTCTTTCTTCGCACCAGAGTTTTCTATTGTATTGCGGAGGCGTTTCATATCTATACAAATAAATAAAATTGAACTGTCTGTTTGTAAGGTCAAAATAACAGCTTTTTACTAAATGCATATGAAAGTATATACGGTATAACATAAACACAATTTTTTAAAATTTTTGTCTGTCTGTCTGGTCGTTCCGGCCTGCTGGACCGATTTCGACGGGACTTAGGCTACTTATATTTTAGAAAAAGAATTAGGATTCTGCGGAACATAATTAAAACCCTAAATTACAAGCGGGCGAAGTCGCGGGGAACAGCTAGCATAAATTACAAACTCCGTGCGGGTCTAAAACACGTGGCGGCGCAGATAAAATAGTTTTTAATTTCTTATTACGTTCCAAAGCGATCTAGAACCTTTTATAACAAATTATTAAAAAAAAATGGATTCATTATTGATATTTTACTAAAATGTAAAGGTATATATAACTAAAAAAATATGTAATAATAAACACATGATATATTTATCCGTGCAGTAGCTGTGTAAAAATATCCACTAGTCCACTACCCTATATCGTGCCTTGGGTGTCGTAAAAGTTGCCTGTCGTAGAGGGATAAGAGTCAAACAAGAGTCAACTGTGGAAAATTATTATTCAAAATATCACAATCATAATCTATACATATATGGGAAGGTACTGATATCCTAAGATACAGGATTAATCCTAGTTTAGAAATCAATGCAACAATTTGTTTGTAACCTATATAAGTTTTAATAAAGATTACTATTATTATATTATTATTATTGTTAATCATATTTGCAAATATCATATAAGATGCAATCTGTGGGGGAGGGCTATGTTAAGCAGTGGACAGTGGCGGATTATCCTTAAGACAAACTAGGTACGTGCCTAAGGGCGCAAGGTTACAAAAGAGCGTGCGCGGAACGAAAAGAATTTAAATACCTACTTACATAATATAAAAAATAATATTGAATAAAACCACTTTTACGGATTCTATCGCATTTAATTAACTGGTTTTTTTTTGATCCCGACGTCTTATTCAATGTGTAGTGTTCGTGTAAATATAAGAAATCATTATAAAAAATAATACTTTCTCTAGATATGTAGAGCTTCCAAAGCGCGTCACGTAACTCGATTACTAGTACTACATCGCCTTTACTCACTAATCATATTTTTCATTCGCGCCCACCTATATCAAGTCCTAATTATTTTGCAACTAAGTTTGTTATAAATTATAACACAGTTTATTTGCAATATAAGTAGTTAGAATTTATAACATATGACCTCCAGAGGGACGCCTCTGGCAGTGGACTTTTAATCCGCCTCTGGTGTAATAGAATGGATGGATGGATGAAACATTAGTCTGCATTTAAACGGTTTTTTATACAAAATTAAAATTAAAATAAAAGTTTTTGAAGACGTTCTTATAGGCTATTTTGAGAATGCCCTCGTCTTTAGAATATTATGTATGCATTGGAACAATCATAATTTGCAGCTGATTCTGTTCAACAGTTCGTATGTTTTAAATCTAGTGATATTTTACTTAATACACCGCATAATACCTTATTATTTTTTCCAGAAATATTGGATATCTCAAATTACCAGGAAAGAGAAATCTCTGGGTATACCAAATAAACGACCCGGGATTAAATATATATGAGTATATGCTTGACGTAAAACTATTTTTTCTATCTACGGACGCGTGGTTGCTTTCTAACGATGAGCTTGAAGAATCTGACATCGTTATTATGGACGTGAAGGATATATCACTCAAGTTTCTCACAAAATACAGCATGTCTGTAGCAAAAAAAGTAGCTAAATACCAGGAGGTTGGTTATTTATTTTCAACTTTAAATCTATTTTACTTATTTTGTATCATTATCATTATTATTATCTACTATCAGCTCATAAAGAAACAATTTTGCGACAGACATACTGAAGAAAAATTTAGTGTTTTGCTCATATATTTACTTCTGCTCGGGTTTCAATTTAGGATCTTAGTGTTAATTAAGGTGGTAGAAGCAGGCTGTAGTTGTATTTATTTTCACTACAGCACTAATGAATCGGCTAGACTTGGGAAATACTACACTCTCAGTCTCACATAATACGAGTACAAGCGTAAAATGGCAGCATAATAATGTATTGCTTCGTATGGCGAAGTAAAAAAGGGTTTCTTGCTTTCTTATTCTCTTCAACCGGAGTTGCGGTCACTATATCTATACATAACTATTATTTACTTATTTAAAACTTTATATACACACGTGATCTATTATACGAGTCTTATCTTGCCATAAAATTATAACATAAAATTCATTTTTATAACAAATTAAGATTTATTATATACCTAACGCTTTTGTGTGAATTTCAGGAGGTGGTACCGATAAGGCTTAAACAAGTGCATATAGTTAACACGCCAGTAGTCATGGACACGATCTACGGTCTTATGAAACCATTTTTAAAAAAGGAACTAACCGATTTGGTAAGCACGAGAATGATATTACGTTCTATTCAGCAATATAGTGTGGAGTATAATCGATAGCATAACTAGCGTGGTCAAAACTCATAACTCTGTGACTTTGGAATTACTGTCTGTTTACAGTCAGCAAATTCTCCTACTGTTGACGATAATAACTTTAGTGTCTTTAACTTTAACAAATTAGACTTCTCTCAAGGCAACTAATACCAACTTCTTCTGCAGCACTTCTCTCTACTATTTCTTCCTTGAAATAGATTTTTTTAGCTCTATTTATTTGTTCATGAAAGATAAGGGCTCGTTATGGTGCCTGATTTACATAGTTCTTCGGCATTTTGCTGTATACTGAAAGAATAATTTTAGATATTTTTCTAGTATTGGGTTCTAACTACGAGCCATGGATTAAGATACGCGTGCGTAGTCTTAACCTCGCACTCTTACCCTAATCAGCAAAAATATTAAATTATCAAACACTGATGTATATTAGAGATTATGATAATAGTTACATAAATACTACAATAACGGAACTATGTAAATGTAACAAAATTATTGGCTCAGATCCGTGCATGTACCGTCAACACACTTTCCTCGGCACAACTATTAAAGGATATATTTGCAGTTTACGTGTTGGGCGATCTATGGCGAAAAGTACTTATTTTGCGATGGCGCGCAACGTCGCTCCGAATCGGCGACATGAGCATCACTGACACTGAGTTCCGTGAACATAGATTTCAGATCTATCACCTAGGTCGGAGTTCGGGCTATTGCGAACTTTTACCCGTTGCGTGCTCTTACCCCGAATGACTATGGTCCAAACTGAGTTTTACACATGCAGCCTTCACATGATTATTTATCATTAGAAAGTGCAAAAATTATTCTTCGATCTTTACAGATTTACTTTCATCAGCCAAACTCTCAGACTCTGTATAAATATCTAGATAAAGAGGAGTTGCCAGAAGACTACGGCGGAACGCGTCCTAAAATGGAGGAATTGAATAAAAGCATCGTGGAACTTATAATGAAATACAGGTTATCCACTATGTGGTATTTCATACTATACAATAATTATTTTGATATTTGATTATTTTAAATAAAATTATTTTGGATTATGCCATTTGTAAATAATATTTAGAGTAATTACATCTTTATATATATAAAAATTACGTGTCACGTTATTTGTCCGCGAAATTTATTTGTCCGTGTAAACTAGTGAACGGATTTCAATTAAATTTTGCACACTTTGGTCCAACTTGAGTGATAGGATAGTTTTTATCCCAATAAATGACCATCAACATTTTTATTATGAATTTAAGGATTTTTTATATGAAGGATCGTCGGAAAGGGAAGAACAGCGTCTGCCTGGTCGGCTAGTACATATATAAAATGTAAAAATGGTATTTTTAAACTTACTATTTCAATAGGTATATATAAGTACTTAAAATGGTACTTGCTAAAATAATATTTTTTAAACTTGCTTTTGTAAGATGGTAATGATGTCTATGGTGCTGTGGCCCTGTTTAAGAATAAAAATGTAGATGCCTTGTCACCCGTGACGACTAAGATGGAATGCCTCATATCCAATTAAAAAAGGGTCTCCCGTCCTCTATACTCACCACAGAAAACACGCTTGAATTCTGTAAGGGCCTGGTCCGGTCGAGCGGATCCATTCGCGCTACAACCATATAGATGCAGCATGGCTCTACCGCGTATAAATAAGAATAGAGTAATAGTCGGAAAAGTATATAATCACTACGTGTAATAGTGTTATTTGGTTACTAGGTGGTTGGCTAGTGGTACTTTACTTGCTTTCAGGTGGACTGTGTGTTCGTTTGTCATTGCTATAAGTAAAACGTAGATTTTATATTACTCTTTGGCTTTAAGGTTTTTTTATAGAATAAGGGTGACAAACGAGCACACAGTCCACCTGATGGTAAGTGGACGCTGCGGCCCACAGACATCTATATTAATCCCCGATTAAGAATTAAAATGCAGATGCGTTGTCACCCCTGAGGACTAAGATGGAATGCTACATTACCAAGTAAAAAGAGTCTCCGGTTCTCTACAATCACCATACAAAACACAGCAGCATTAAGCTGCTATTTCACGCTGGTATTCTCTGAAAGCGTGGCCCTACCCCGGTGGAGTCGACCCATGCGTGCTACAACTATACTACTAATATAGCTGCAGCATGACTCTACAACGTATATAACTTGCTCTTGCTTCTAATTATTAGAAGCTTGCGCACAAGCAGATGTCAATACAAGAAGAAAGATTGTTTTGATCAGCTTGATGTCTTTGGGACAAAGCTGATGAGCTAAACCTTAAAAATGATTCATCAAACCTGGTGTCAATAGATCATAAACTATTGCATCCTGACCGAGCGAAGTATGGCAAAGACAAAACAACTTGGATACGGTTTTTTTACAATTATAAGCCAGTGCTTTAAGCCCTCTTTACATTTTGAAAAGTGACAAGTGCGAGTAAGGTTGACAAGTAAACACTGTCAAGTGACAACTAGCAAGTAGGTGTTCAGACGTGTGGCAAGTGGATATGCAGTAAGGTCATTACTATATGGAATTCCGAACCGCATGGTATTTCTAGAACTCAAAATTGATGAGTAACTGCTCCTACAAGTTCGTAAAGTAATCAGAAAAGTCATAAACCATTGTTATGTATGATAGTATGTAAGAAAATTCGGTGATTTAATATTAAATAAACAATCGTGTTTTAGTAATTCTTGGAAAAATTTAATGTTACCGTTTTCTGATCACTTCGCCGTTTTTAAAACAATAGCGCAAGCTAAAATTAACTATTAAAACGCAAACTAAAATTATTTACCAATACGTTTATGTCGTGACATGTTAGCTAGAGTGGGGACGGTGGGCGAGCGAGGGGTAGCAAGGGTAGCGGAGGGCAGAGCTACTTTTTTTATATAGGATAGGGTGACAAACGAGCACACAGTCCACCTGACGGTAAGTGGTTGCTGTGGCCCTACATCTACATTTATCCTCGTTTGCGAATCAAAATGCAGATGCGTTGTCACCCGTGAGTACTAAGATGGATTGCCTCTTTTCCAGTAAAAAGGATCTCCGGTTCTCTACACTCACCATACGAAACACAGCAGTGTTAAGCTGCCATTTTACGCCGGTATTCTGTCAGAGCGTGGTCCTTCCCCGGTCGAGCCGACCCATTCGTGCTACAACTATACTACTAATATAGCTGCAGCATGGCTCTACCACGTATTGCAGCATAGCTCTACCACGTATACTTGTCAGAGAATAGAGCAGGCTGCTATTCACTTGTTGCATTTCACACTTATCACTTGTCACTCGCACTTGTCACTGCCTGTTCACACGCACTAAGCACTTGTCTTTTGTCAGTGCACTTGCCACTCGCACTTGTCACTTCTGAAAATGTAAACCGGGCCTTAGTATTATCCCTCCTGATTGTAAAGGGTGATGCAGCCAAAGACGGTAAAGCGCACTGACTTAGCCTAACAAAAGCTTTAGCTTAGCTTATTCACTTTTGCCTTGAACACACCTACATTCAAATAGGAAAGAGCCTATTCCTTTTTAAAAGGCCGGCAACGCATCTGCAATTCCCCTGGTTCCCCTGGTGTTGCGGTTGTTCATGGGCGGCGGTAGTCACTTACCATCAGGTGAGCCGCATGCTCGTTTGCCTCCTCTCTTATATAAAAAAAGGATGGAAAGGCAAAGGCTGGTATATTATTCCACTCCTTTGCTTTGTGTAACACACAAAATTATACTTATAAGTGAAGTCATAATACACTAACAGATAAAATTCAGTTGGATAATTTGTGGAATAATTTGGAAAAATCTGCCCCAAATATGATGCAATCTGTGAGATAGGCTTATGTTTAGCAGTGGAATTTTGGTGTGCTGTAGTTAATAATGAATTAATGAAAATATATCGATTATACAGAAGATAAAAGATAAAATTACGACTTTTGCATCGTATGCGAAACCCAAGTAAGATATCAACCACGAATGTTTGATTATTCTATAAAAAATATTTTGAAGTATAATTTTTGCTTTCAGGGAGCGTTTAAACGAGAAACTTTGGGTCGCAATTGACAAGAAATCAAAGAATAAAAGTAGTGCAGACAAAAGTAGTACAGAATCTTCATCATTCCGGTCTCTTGGCATAGATTAAGATTATGAGGACTTGTACAATAGTCTTATTTCTATAATACAATTTATTTTGGTATGTGATTATTTTATATAAGTTTTATATTTTAGTATTAAAACTATGTCTTTTTGCTTATTGTTTCTATTTTGTTAAAATTACTCCTACTTACCTTTCATCATCATTATCATCATCATCATCATTACAGTCCTTCACAAGTCCAGTGCTGAACATAGGCTTTCCCGAAGGAATGCCACAAAGCACGGTCCCGAGCCACCTGCGTCCATTGGCTTCCTGCATGTCGTCACTCCATCTAGTAGAGGGATGCCCTACACTTCACATGCCGGTACGAAGCTGCCACTCGAGAACCTTTCTTCCCCAATGGTTGTCGGTTATTCGAGCTATATGGCCGACCCATTGCCACTACTAATTCTTTGGGCTATCGTTTACTCGTTTTTAAGTATCACGCAGAGAAACGCCGAGCATAGCCCTCTTCATAGCTCGCTGAGCAGCTTTGAGCTTCTTCATACGACGAGCAGTGCAGGACCATCTCTTAGATCAATATGTCATCACTGGCAACACACACTGGTTGTACAACCTAGTTTTAAGGTTTTGAGATATACCTGACGAGAAAATGTGTCGTAATTTCGCGAACGCTGCCCACCCGATTTGAATCCGTCGATTGACCTCTCGGTCGAAGTTGGACTTACCTAGTCGGAATATTTGTCCCAGGTAAACATATTCGTCAACAACTTCGAACTTAGTGCTCCCAACAACTACCGGCATAGGTGTGACATGGACGTTAAACATGATTTTTGTTTTGTCCATGTTCATCTTAAGATCTATCCGTTGGGAAACACTATTGAGGTCATTGAGCATAGTGCTTAGGTCCTCCAGCGATTCTGCCATAAGGACTATGTCGTCAGCAAGTCGAAGGTGAGTGATGTACTCACCATTAACATTAATACTGTATCCTTTCTAGTCCAGTAGCTTGAAAACGTCTTCCAATGCAGCGGTGAAGAGTTTCGGGGATATTACGTCACTCTCTCTTACACCTCTCTGCAGTTGGATAGGTTTCGTACTATGGTTCTGTACTCTGATAGCGATCATAGCCCTACTGTACAAACACTAGCACCGCTCACTTTAGTCCCCATACGCAAGACAAATTGGCAGATTGTGCTCTTCGGTCTTCTGTACAATTTTTCGAAGGATATGTATGTGGTCTATGTTGCTAAAGCCTTTTCGGAAATCGGCTTGTTTGGGAGGCTGGAAGTTGTGGAGTCTGCGTGCGAGACGATTCGTAATGATTCTCGAAAACGGCACGTAGACGCGGCTTAGAAGGGAAATCAGTTTGTAGTTCTTCAAGAGAGCGTTGTCGCTTTTCTTGAAGAACAAGACCACCGCACTTCTGCTCCACGCCTCGGGAGTAGAGCCACCATGGAGGACGGAATAAAGAGCTTCTGAAGGACTTTAAGTATCGGTTTTCCACCCGCTTTCAGAAGATCCGCTGTAATTCCATTCTCGCCTGGGGCCCTACCGCTTTTGCCGAGAGCCAGACTAACGTCCGGGATATCATCGGAATAGTGTCGGATAAAACTTGCTCTTGGATCATTAGTCACACCTACGTGTAGCTCCAACGATGACGTGTACAGCTGCCCATAGAACCTCTCTATCTCACTGTGATATAGTGTGACCGGAGAGTTTTTGAGTTCTTCTGCGACGGGTCTTACAGAACTTAGCTCCGACCGCATGGACAGTTTCCACAAGTTTGTCATTCATAATGTCCATTTTATTGGAATCTTCTAGCCACTGAAAACGTTTTTGTAATTCAAGCTGAAAGTTTTCTAATTCATTGGACGTGACCTCTTCAACTTAACGTTTAGGTTCAGTGTGCCTCTCACCATTCGGTGATCGCTGCCAGTTGAAGTGAATTTAATCTTATTTTTTCGACAAAAATTTTTGTTAAGCCGCTTTTGTAAGAAAGAGTTCATCACAAAGAGTCCTTCTTTAAGTCAGCCGCTGCTGGCCCCTTAGGTTCCGTTGCCCTATACCGAATTTCCTACTTTTAGCTCACCGTTCTCTCTTATGCCTAGTTTTGCATTGAAGTCTCCCGATTAACACTGTATAGTAGGTTATGGATGAATGCTCTAGAGATATCCTCATACATTTCCTCCACCTCCTCATCAGGATGTGCCGAGGTTGGTGCGTAAGCCTGTATGACCTTCAGCGGATACCGTTAGGTAATTCTGAGTATAAGGCACGCAACCCTCGTCGACACACTTCGTTAACAATCTTTACAACGTTGTTAACGAGAGACTTGTGGACGATAAATCCGACACCTCGTTGGGACAGATGGTCGCCCTCCTGGTGTAAGAATAAGTTGCCGGATTCGAGGATTACCGTGTCCTACTCCTCTCTTTGGCCCTTGGATCCTATAATATTCCAGCGCAACTTGTCTTTCTCTTCTTCCAGCTCCAGGATCTTCTCCTCAGTTGACATGGTGCGTGCGTTATATGTTGCCAGGTCGAGACGTGGTAGGTGGCAACCGAACCTTCACCGGAGATCCTAGCACCCCTTCCCCGCCGTTAACATGGTCGCCACCGTAGCCAGGAATATCGGGGCCGCCGGGGACTGGGGGCCGTCTTTTTGTAACTTTCGTCATGGGGAGTATATGACCATAGTTGCCACGCTTGGCGAGTTGGTTGGCAACCGCAGTTTTTTATTGTAATTTGCTGTTATATGAAAGATGCTGCTGCCCATCTTCTGTGTAAGTTACCTTCTGTCGTCTCTTACGACACCCACGGGAATATATGGGTTAGTGGGTATTCTTACCCGTCATTACACGGGGTATTTACCTTTACTCCTGGTTTTTCCTTATTTTTATCATCACTTTTATTACTTTGCTGTGAGTATAAACTCCGAGAGTTTATAGTACTCGACACACATACTGCATCCAGTACTGCCTTTGATCTTACCGGATAAATTAGAAAGCAGCATATACTCTTTGAGGAGTTTTAGCGGAAATCTAATTGTGATTTTAGTGATTTAAGTCTTAAGTCTTAAGGGTGAAATACCATTTTTAGCCAAATCTCCGAAAAAAACAATCGCAATGTGGCGCATCAAGCCAAGATAACGCCTCGGCTTACAAATATGCCGCTGCGAAATACTTGAACATCCTCCATATTCACCAGACCTCGCAACTATGGTTGTATTTTCAAAATTTAAGCAGTATTTGAGAAAACATATTTGAAGATGATGAAGCAGTAGTCGCTGCAGTGCACGAATTTTAGGTGCTCATGATAAAAATGAAAAACTCTTCATCTTGAGCATTTAAAATTGTTTTAAATGTTATAAAAGACATTCCATTTATCAATTCCAAGTATCATGGAAAATAAAAATAATAACAAATGACAAATGTTTTCTTAACAAAAAGAAATATACCTACAGCAAGAATTATCTATTAGTTTCCTCAATAGGCAAGCCTATATATAGAGAAAAGTTATTACACTAGGTGACTATATCGCAAATAAAATAAATAACATATTTTTTGTATGCAAGCAGCTATGCTTGTCTAATAATATCAGTATCATTGCGACCAGTAAGATCTATTGTGATCGCTACTACAGCTATAGTTCACTAATTCACTGCTTAGGCCTATATCTTCAATTAATTGAAGGAGTTGCTTAGCTGTGAAAATTTCACTTCATCTGGGATAAGTACGTACCTATTTCTAGACCCTTTTTACTGGAAACGAGGCATTCCATCTTAGTCCTCATGGGTGACAACGCATCTGCATTTTGATTCTTAATCGACGATAGATGTAGATGTCTATGGGCCACAGCAACCACTTACCATCAGGTGGACTGTGTGCTCGTTTGTCACCCTTATCCTATAAAAAAATCTGGGATAAGTACGTAGTTTCCCAGATGAATGTTACGTTCACAATCAGGATGTGCAGGGGTGATTTTTCTGTTAAGGTACGAAATCGGCACATCCCTGAATTTGTGTGACTTTCAGATTTTTTTAAAAGTACAATCATTGGCCCCTTGAAGTTATAATGAAAAATAACAAAAACAACAAACCCTCGAAAAGATACTTTAACTTAAAATGAAATGCATAAACACAATGAGTAATTTTAGGTCATAATATACCTGAATTAGCCAACGTAATGAATTAGATTAGAGTTAAAATCTGAATGTTGCAAACCATCAAACATGGCCACGAGTATTGTTTTATTTTTTTATGTGTTATCATGTTATCAGGTATCATTTTCTGTAGTCTACTTTTTAATTTCAAAAAACTATACAATGCAAAATACTTACCGTTACAGGCTATTAAAATCCACTGCTGATCATATATTGGGGGATGATTGCCATAGTTGCTTGTCATCGAAGTTTTTATTTTTAGTCGTTATTAAGAGGACGCTGCTGCACATCTAATTTGTTTCCCTCTGACGTCTCTTACGACACCTTAGGGACGATAAGGGGTAGTGGATATTCGTATACCGCACACAGTATAAAACAACTACACATTGTGACCACACAGGGAGTGCTTACACATATACTTGTGGCTAATTAATAACTTCAGCGCAGTTAATTGCTTGCAGTATTAAAAAGTAGTAGCTGCAATCGATGTCGGCTATGATAAGATAAAAAATAAATTGATAGTTATCTGGTTAACTGTAATGATGGTGATAAAAATGATGATGATGATTAATGATACTTAAAATATGTGTATTTTGTTTCACCTCTGCCTCCTTAATACTTTTCTATAATTGTTTTTTTGTTTGTAATCGGTACATTATCAAAAGTTATGATAATTATTTTGAAATTTAGGTAACAATTTGTATAATGGTGGCGAGTCGTGCATTTTAATCTAATCTCAAAAATCGTAATTAAATGATGTAAAATAATGTTACTATACCTAAAACAAAGTAAAAAACGTTTTTTCCAAAGACTTCTTTGTATACTGGCGAGAAGACTAGTTATTTGTTTTGTAAACTGCGAACGTTGTTTTCGACAATCTCA